TGTGGTTGCTATGCTCTGAATATCTGCAGAGGCCTGACTTATTTTTACTCTCCATAGAGTTTTCCTTATCTTTGGGATGTCTTATCACCATGATTGCATTCCAGCCCCTAGAAAGTGAGGAATGGAAAGTATTTCATTTGCTAAAAATTATTTGTATGACTCAATTTAGCTGCAAAAAAGAAGACAGCCTTTATTCTAAATAAATATATATCAAGGTCAAATACTATTATTGTGGAATAAAGGGAAAACCAATATTGGAGGCCAACTGGCATTACATTTAACTTAAGCATAATTTCTTCTACAGAAACTTTCCTAAAGCCTCGGTCAAGATCAGTTCTTCCTTGTGGAATTCCATAACAGCATTGCATATTTCTCCACAGAGCCCTTTATTCTTGGTTGTTATCAATCAATAGCACTTATTCTTCTTAGCCCATAGGTAGACCAGAGGAAACATTCTTCTTATTTACATCATTATTTTCTTAGTTCCTAGAATAAGTCTGACACACTGTAGGTAATTGGTGCATATTGGTTGTAGAATAACTGTAGGCAGGGCAAGAGCAATTTCATATTGGTCCAGGAGAAAAGAAGACTGATTGTTTTTATAATTTTATTGTCTACCATGTGTTTCTAAATTTTAAATGAAGAAAATATAAAAAACATTGACCAAAAGTTAATATTTGGTTAATTGCAAGTAAGAAGCTGTTGAAAATAAATGATATTCCGTTTCTATTAACTGTAATTAAAAATAATTCTTGGACATATGGTTCAATAGAACTGAATATTTCAACAGCATAGGTAACCAACCAAACAAAAACATTGTCAAGTAATTTTCCTTTAAACTGTATGAAGTAGAGCTAACTTCCAAATTGTGGAGTAAATCTGAATAATCCAAAATCCCATGTCTTTTGGCAGCAATTTTGTAACAGGTATTATTATTCAGGGAAATTGAAAGCAAGTTCTTAATATTTTAAATCTTTCAAACGTGATCACTATAAAACTCATTCAATGGTAAATATTTTCACTATTTAAAAATGGTTTGGGAAGTATTCTTTCTGTTTTTTTTTTCAAGGTACTCTTATTTGAGGAACCAAGAAACTTATAGGTCCATGTTCATTTCTCTCATTTTGTTAAACTCACAAAGTAATCACATAGTAATGTTGAACTAAAAATACATGAACTATAGATTTAAAAAAATTGTCTCTACCTTAGGAATCAAGTTATTGCTAACCTCATAATATGGGCTTGGAAGTATTCCCTGTAGTTCATGTTTTGGAAGACTTGAGACAGTATTAGTGATATATCTTTGAATGTTTGGTAGAATTTCACCATGAAGCCATCTGGTCCTTTGCTTTTTTGTTGGAAGGCTTTAAAATTACTTCTTCAATCTCCTCATTTGTTGCCTATTCAAGCTTTCTATTTCTTTCCAATTCAATCTTAATAGGTTGCCTTTTTCTAGAAATTTATCCATTTCCTCTTGGTTACCCAGTCTGTTGGTGTGTAATTGTTTATAATCATCTCTTATGATCCTTTTAATTCCTGAGGCATCTGTTGTAATGTCCTAACTTTTATTTCTGATTTTATTTATTTGAGTCTTCTTTCTTTTTTTTCTTAGTCTAACTATGGGCTTGATAATTTTGTTTACTTTTTCAAAGAAATAATTTGATTTTATTGACTTTTCTATGGTTTTTCTGTTCTCTATTTGATTTATATCTGTTCTGATCTTTATTAGTTCCTTCCTTCTTCTAACTTTAGCTTTAGTTTGCTTTTTTTTTTAGCTCCTTAAGGAGTAATACTAAGCTTTTGATCTAGATCTTTTTAATGAAGGCATTTATTGCTATGAATGTCTGTCTTAGAATTTCTTTAACCATATTTCACAGGCTTTGATATGTTGCATTTTCATTGTCAATTATATCGAGATATTTTAAAATTTCTCTTGTGATTTCTTCTTTGACCCATTAGTCATTCTGGAGCATATTGTTTAATTCACACATATCAATGTCTTCAAAAATCTTCAGTAAAATATAAATGAAGTCAACATCATATCAAAAAGATCATACATCATGATCAGGTGGGATCTATTACTGATCTAGAAAACTGGTTTAAAAATATGCAAATAAAACAATGTGATATGTCATATTAACAAGATGAAAGATAAAAACCACATGATCATTGCTGATACAGGAAAAAATATTTGACAAAGTACAGCATCTTTTCTTGATAAAATCCTTAATGTTTAGATATAGAAGGAAATTTCCTTAATGTAAGAATGTACATTTATTGAACAAAAACCTACAACTGACATATAGTTAATGGTGAAAAACTGAAAACATTTTTACTAAGATTTGGTTTTAGGTGAGGATGCCAATTTGTACCCCTTGTATTCAGCATAGTACTGGAGTTACTAGCAAGAACAATTAGACAAGAAAAAGAAAAAAAGACACCTAAATTGGAAGATAAGAAAAAAATTGTAGAATTGTAAAATTGTAGAATACAAAATCAACAGATAAAAATCAGTAATAAGTCTACACATGAAAAACTATGAATAAACCTAATCAAGGAGGTAAACGATCTGTACACTGAAACTATAAAATGTTGGTGAATGAGATTGAAGAAAACGCAAATAAATGGAAGGATATCATATGCTCATGGATCAGAAGAATTAATACTGTTAAACTGTCCATACCACCAAAACTATATACAGATTTGATACAGTTTCTGTCAAAATTTTGATAACATCCTTCACATAGAGAAAACAATTCTAAAATTTATATAGAACCACAAAAGATTCTGAGTAGCCCAAACAATTCTGAGCAAGAAAAACAAAGTCAGAGACATTGCATTTCCTGAATTAAAATTATATTGCAAAGCTTCAATAGTCAAAATAACACAGTATGGCATGAAAACAGACACACAGACCAATGATATAGAATAGAGAGCTGATATGTATGAGAACATACATAGCCAACTATTTTTAACAAGGGCATAAAGAGACAAAGACAAAGAAGAGTATTTTCAATAAATGATGTTAAGAAAACCTGATTTCCATATGCAAAAATTAGCCACCTACACAAAAATTAACTCAAAATTGATTAAAAACCCTAATGTAAGGCTTTAAACAATAAAAATTCCAAAAGAGTACATAGAGGAAAATCTCCTAAACACTGGCTTTGACGACAATTTTTTTTTAATATCAGACCAAGAGTTCAGGCTACAAAAATTTTTACAGAGTAGGACTATCTCAAACTAGGAATCTCTACACAACAAAGAAAATAAGCAATGAAATAAGATGCAAACTATGGACTGGAAAATATATTAGCAAACCATATATCTGTTAAGATATTTATAAAGAACTCTTATAATTCAATAAAAGGAAAATAATCCAATTAAAATGAGCAATTGACTTGAACAGATGTTTCTCTAAAGAAGACAAAAAAATGACCAATATGTATATAAAAATCAAATCACTAATCATCAGGAAAACTCAAACTAAGAGCACTGTGCTATCACCTCATAATGATGGCTATTATAAAATATCAGTAAATGGTGAGGGTATGGAGAAAGGGAATTCTAGTATGCTATTGTTGAAATCCCCATCTTGAAAAGATATGTACCCTCACTCCCATGTTTAGCACTATTCATAGTAGCTAAGATAAGGAAATAATGTAAATTCTCATGGATAAATGGCATATAAATGTGATACATAAATATATAAATTAATTTATATTTATACCTGTACCTATCTGTATCTGTATCTATATTGACTCTCAGTAAAGCATTTCTCCTATCAATGTGATCATAGCTCAATCAGTGAAGTAGAAGGCTCCTAACAGACAGCTCAGGCAAATTTATTGGATTAGTTTTCTCTAGTGACCAGGACATTTTTTTGAAATCAATAATACTGTGAATATCAAAAATTACCCCATCAGAATCTTGGCTTTGTGACTGAAGGAGTGATTTCTAGGTATTCTGTCTTCTTAACTTTTAATAATACTTTTATAAGGAAATGGTACCATGGTGGATATACCTTATATTTTCTTCATTTTTTATACATAAATATTTACATTTAGGTAATAAGATCTATTAATAAAGATATAGGGAAGTGAGGGAACCTTGAAACTTGTGCATTGTGAAAGAGGCTACTGACTAATAGTTTCTTAAATGATACCATGTCGTGCTTTCTGTTTACATGGACGTTAATGTCCATGCACATAAAGAAAAAAAGATGGAAGTGAGTTGCCCTAAAAGTATATTAATGAAGTGAAGCTCAGTAGCCAGTGTCTAAAAAAGAACATGAGAACATTTCTGTCTTATTTCTGCTTCATTATTGAATTAATATCCACTGACGAGATCAGGTGTCACTGATACTACAACCTATTTTAGAGGGCAAGGTCTTGGCTCACAAATTTAGAGAAACATGCATATTGATCCCTCAAGTGTTCCTTTTGGAATTCGGGGAAAACTATGAAAACCAGGAAGATCTAATTTTTAACTGTTATTCATTAATATATGACAGTTAAAAGTCAGGTTTTATATTATTTCATGAACCAGCAGAGTCAATGTCAGTAGGGATACAGAAGAAAGTCCTTGGAGCAGTTAAGAAGTTGATTTTCTTAAATTACATTGTGAGCACATAGAATAATTTGTGATGGATAATCATGTAAAAAGAAACTTAAAAACCAGTAACATAAAGCTTAGTCTTAAGTGGCGTGAGTGACATGACTGAATGTGAGAAATAAATGTGATGAGTATTTTTTGTTTGTCTAGAAGTAAATTTTATTGTGTATATTTGAGGTTTACAATGTGATGTTATGAGATACATATAAATAGTAAGATGATTTTTATAGTAAAGTACATAAACATCATTATCTTACATCATTAATGTTTTGTATGATAAAAGCAGCTAAAATCTGCTTGTTTAACAAAAATCCCAAATGCAACACAATTTTATTAACTTCAGTTTTTGTATTCTACATTAACTGCCAAACTTTTCATCTTTTCAGATCCTTTGTGTTATGAAAGCCCCACGTGTGCATTTCTCTAAATGAAAGTCTCCTGAACTTAAACCCATGGACATTTTAAAGAAAATGCAGTAAGCCAATGCTTCCTTGGCTAAAAACGTGTCTGTGCTCTGCAAACAATGAACAGAACCCAGGAAGGGAGATGCAGACCGCCTGCTGAGCCAGTCCTAGTTCTCTTCCCTGGAAATCTTGTCCTTGCACAGAACTTCTGGAAACCAATAAAAGAAAACTAATGTGCTACCCAGAGCAGAGAAAATGGAAATCTGCTGAGTTAATATTGTGGGTCATAAAAGTCACTCAAAGAGAATTCTTTCAATAAGGTGCCTACCATAGTGGTTATATAATTCTTCCATGAAACTTACTTTTCTCTTTCTGAAAAGAAGTTTTGTTTTTTCTCTCAAAGAATAATGGTACTGCTTAACATCCCCAGAACACAATGTGAATGAGCTTTTAAAATTTTATTCTAATTACAAGAGAAATATATTCTGAGTATAGAAGATGAGGAACATAGAGAAAACCCTGAAGGAATCAAACAACCCTATTGTGAGATAAAACTCAGGTAACATTTTGGGATATTTAACAATGTCTATTGCCTTGACGCCAAAAAGTCGGCATTATTGTCGAACATTATTATTATTAAAGTTTGGATGTATTTCATTTGAATGATGGCTATAAATAAATTTTAAGCAGAAAGCAAAAATGACTTTTCTTTTGATTCCAGGGCCTTCTCATTAAACTACATCCTCAATCCTTTCTTGTTTTCTTATTTTGAGTCAGAGCCTTGCTAAACTGCCATGCTGTTTAAATTGGACTCAAAACATGCAATCCTCCTGCCTTACCCTTCCAAAATATTGGAATTACAGGCATGCATTGGAATCACAGGCATTTAAATTTTAAAACAGATACAGCAACACCTGTAAAGAACAGTTGGGCATTATGCTCTTGAAATTTTTGAAAAACTAGATGCTTAGTTAATGCTTCCTTTACTTAAAATATTTTAGTCTCTGTGTTGGAATTGCCCTCAAAACTGGTATATGAGCCAAAACACAAAAGCATCTTGTCATTTTATAGCCTAAATGCTTCTTTAAAACCAGTTCTTTTTCTTGTCCTTCCCTACTCCCTCTTTTACATATTTGATTTGTTTTTCAGGTCATCTTCACCTGGAGAAGCAAAGCAGAGCTATTTTCAGATCAGTTGTGAAGATAGGCTCAGCTTCAGCTATTTCTACTGATGGGAAATGCTATCTTGCATAAATATTCCATAATTATATGCTAGTCATTGTATCCAGACTGTGCAGTATGTCTGTTCCTCTCACATTTGCAGAAGAGCAGCTCAGCAGCTACAAAACTGACAAATTCAAAATGTAGTTTTTAGTAACCTAATGATGGAGGTAAACTTTTCACCTTCAGCTTTTTCTCCTTTGGAGGTTAGTCATTTCAAGCACAGAAGTTGCAAGATTTCTTGGGAAGACTGAAGATGCAGGGAAGTGCATCAGCAAGTGTCACTGGCTCAGTCCCAGCTGACAGTGACAGGGAAAGATGTGATGTGTATGGGGTGAATTATAGAATGTCCCTAATCACGATGTGCCCTAGTAACCAGTGGATGTGATGGTAAGGAACAGGTGATGAGTTGTAAACTTCTGTCTCCTACTAATTGTAGAGATGAGACTGATAGACACAGGAGACTAGAACACTCTGCAAAAAGAAGCCATGAGCATTTGACACTTGTGATTATTGCCATGCTGAAAGTTGCCCATTCTGGTTCTTTTCTTACATCTTTGGTTACTTCTAAGTAAAATTGTATCACCCGGATCAGTAATACTTATTGATTTTCCTGAGGAATGTTCAGTAGTGAAGCTTCTCCCTGCCACGTGCAAAGCGCTGTTACATGGTCTCCCTGTTCTGTGGTCAGATGGGAATGGAGGTAGAAAGAGCTATGATTTTAAATGACAGAAGACTGAAGATGGAGACTCCCACTTTGTTACTTGCTCTCTCACCCGACAGGAAGGAAACTATTACTTTTCTTAAGGTAAGATCACTTCACCCACTCCTTAGTAATTGATGGAGAGATTTCTTCTCTGGGATTAGTAGCTAGACCTAAGACTAAGAAACCCTCACCTAGAATGCAATCACCACATTTACCACCACACACATTTCAGGGGCACACTCGTGGACATGTGATTCATCTTAATTCTCTGTCATGCCACTGAGAGAACAGCATGTTTAGATGAGATAGTGAAGGGTGGGGTGGGGTGAGGGCAGAAACAGTGAATCAACAACAACCTAGAGAATAACATGAATCCAGATGGTGAGGCTCACATAGTGTCGTTTGTACTCTGGGACTGGTTGTTCCTGTCCCATCTGACCTCTTGGCTAACCACTTCATGGGGGACACGTTCTTCACTGTCAGGAGTTTTCATCCTTACCTAAGAAGAGGAATAAGTCAGTGAAGCCCAGAGAAATAAGGTTTCTTCTCCTGCACTCCCAAACCCAGAGTAGCGGGTTACTTGTAGGCCTGCTTGTTGTGCACCTGCCATGGCCTCATTAGGTGTCCAGCATCACAGCTCTACCCAGACTCAGCACAATAACCCAGCAACTCCCTAAAAGCCAAACTATCAGGAGGCCTGCCTCATTACTGTGACAGTGAGAAAGCCACACTTGAATTTAACGAGATGTTGGAGCCCCACAAATAAAATAGAACAGCAGGGCTGGGGATTTAGCTCAGTGGTTCCGCCGCCTGTTTTGCAAGCGCAAGGACCCGAATTTGATCCCCGGTACCAAAAAAAAAAAAAAGTTAAAATAGAACAGCAGCAGTTTCACAGATTGTCAGGACTAAGTGAGACTATGCCAGTGAAAATTCCCTGTGACTCTGATGTAGCATGCTAATTTAAATCTCTCTCATTCCTTCAATAGCTTCTTCCTTGGTAAACCATATTTACGAAGGTAAATAATTTCTGTCTATTGGTAAACCTAACCAAAATTTAGTTTTTAAAATTCTTATATGTCTATGGTTTCTCTCTGGAACAGGTTTGCTATTTCATTGAAGATAGTCTGTGAATGTCTATAAGGCCAACTCTATATCACATACAATAAGTGATTGCTATATAGTAGTCTTTTGATTTTCTCTGTTTACATTTGTCATTGCTGTTATGAATGGACCTGCTCTTATAATTTATAGCTGCTGCGGCATCTGGAAAAATGATAATCAATTGCAACCAGCTGTTTTCTCTCTCTTGACTACGACTCAATCTGATGCTGTCATCATTCCCATTAGTAGCCAGTCCACATGACACAAAGGAAAGGATGGCAACGAATCTCCCAACATGACCTAAAAGCAAAGATAGTACAATAAATCAAAACTTGCACTAAAACTACAAAGGAAAAGTGGCGATTCTGAGAAAGAGGTCCAGCCTCTCACAATTTATTTTAATTACCGTCAGCCTCATCGCTAGTGTTTTAGGCCATCAGAAGGTGTTTTCTGAATGGAAGAACAGTGGGGCTGAGACGGCCTTGGGGAGTGATGCTTGTGGACTATGTTACGGTAATGTCACTGCTGTGTGTCGGTCTGCTGCAGTCCTCTTTGGAAATTGTGATGCCATTAGCCAAGAATCTGCTAATAATGCAAGAATGCTGTGTGTGGGGTAGGTCCTGTTGTTTAAATTACCAACTCCCTGAAAAAACTAGATTACTTTATGACTGAAATGATTGGCAACCACAAGTATTTCTGGTTTACACTTAACTCTTTCAAAAGATGGATCATTGAGTTTCTTTATTAAATGAACCCTAAATCATCCATCAATTTAATACTAACACTCATATGCATTACCAAGGTGAAACCTTAATTTTTCTTTTCCGGTTTCCTTTAATATACAAAGAGAAACTTCAATCTTGCAGTCAGAAGTCACATTCTGGAGAAGCCATTTTATTTAATTACTTTTAATTTTGCTCCCTTGAAATTTTTTATAGTTTATTCACACAATACGAACCACTTCTGCTTTTCCTTTGATGCTTTCTAAGGATAATGAGTATTTGTTTTCTTTCCTGAAGTATTAGCATGAGTTTGGGATTCTGTCCTTTGTGCTGTCACTTTTTCCACAGTGATTGTGCCTCTCACATTGTTTTTCAATTTTGTTTGTATCCCTTCTTCAAATGAAAGGGAGTGACCATATTATGTTTTAGTTTTTCATATTTTCAGTGACGAGAATAATTCTTGTCAGTTTTCACTTAAAACTTCTTTTACAAGCTAGAGGGAAGGGAAATAACGCTTACCTTCTTCATTGTCTAATAGAGGTTAGGGACTCAGGGTATGATTAAGACCCTGCTATAACTGGGACAGGTGCTAGGTAAGAATTTGGAAAAAGGAGCCATGGAAATATTAACTAACACCGAAAATGCCATCTTTGCACCCCGTGATGAGGTATTCAGAGAGCTCAGGGAAAAACAGCCCAAAAGGACCACCGAGTGCTATAAGTTTGGAGTGAGGATGGGGAAGAAGAAAGTCTTCGAGTGACTATACACTTACAGTAACCCCAATCCCTCAGATTTAGCACCATCATGCAACTTCTCTTCCCGCGTCAGCCATGTTGTGTCCCACGTGACTGGGACAGACAAGTGGGAGGACAGAAGGGAGTGGAATATGTCTCAGCCAAGCTGGGCCAGGCCAGTTCTCTATTACTGGAGTTGGAAATTTGGACTCAGAGGCAAGAGTGCTAGTCTCTGAAGGGGCTGGATGTGAAGTGGTATAAGTTGGGGAGCTTTGGGAAGCCATCTTCTTATCCTGAGAAGGATGAGAAAAAGATGGTGAGTTGGTGATGAGAAAAGAAAGAAGAGAACAATTTCCAAGATTCTGAAAATTTCCCAGTTCCTGATTTTTAGCTCTTTAAAAGACTACAACTCCTGGGTTCTACAAAAGGTATTTATCTCATTTCATAGATGGATCAAGATTTTGGATTAGGCTGTCTTCATTTGGAGTCTTAACTAAGAAAAAGGGGGAGGATTGCCATGCTACTACCTGTCCAGAATGAAAAGACTGGAGTCTAATCCCTTCTTGTAGTAACTGTTTTTTGTTGGCTCTTTGTTCTGTATTCATTTAGCATTCGTAGAATCAGTTCATAATGTGCCAATTTTTCATTATTATTTCCATAACTATTTTTAAGCCATATTTTATTGCAGGGATATTTTGTAGACTCCTGTGTCTTGTGCATAATGCTAGTTTTTGAACTTCATACCAAACATGTTAATTGCCTCTGTGGGCTGAAGTCTACTGTTGTTACTCTGAGTCTCTTGTTATCTGAAAGAGGCACAGACTTATGAGAATGATGAAGAAATAAGAGTTTGGAATCTTGTCCCAAACCTGTCCCTTTCTTGAGAAAGGCCAAACTCAGTCTTTGGCAGGACTGCATCTCAAGTTTGGATAAGAGGAAGTGACAAATAAAAGGAAGTTACTTGTTAGTAAGGATAAGTACAGATAAAGATCCTAGGAACTAGCACTGGGATGGTTAAAAAATTTTCTTTTACATATCTGAAAGAAAAATGAAGTAAATGATAAGATCTCTAGGTTTGAAGATGACACAAAGTTTTTATAGACAAGAAATACTAAGTTGGAGCATGATAACTTTCAGGTCTACACGTTCTAGCATGGAAAAAGAAATTTGGTCAAAAGTATCTTTTAATTCTAAGGCTCTGAGCTCTCAATTATAAC